GGACAATCGAAAAATGAGACAATTTTATTTGATAAGATAAAAATAATGTGCACACTACAAATAACAAAAAAATGATTGTTTCTATCAAAGAAAAGGTGAAAATAAAAGTTTAAAACAAAAAACAAAATTTGCATAAAAAAAATTTTGATTATCAGATAGTAGGGCGTCGACAGTAAGGCGTGCTTAACGATGGGATGTAACGACACCTTATGCTATTTGTACCCTGCTATCGGCACACTATAGGGGGTATATCAAAAAAGCTGATTGACTAGGATAAAATGAGATTCTTTTTGCTTTTTGCACAGTTGACAATTATCGAAAGACTTAAATATTTATTCATTGCACTGAAAATTAGCCATAGATTATATTTATCAATAGTAAATAAATCTCTTGTTTGCTAATAATACGGATAGGTCAAAACAAAAAAAAATAAAATGCTGAACTAGATTAAAAAATGGGTATATTAATCTGTTTCCTCAAACCCCTCTTCACTTAACTTTTTAATTATTAATCGTACCATTCTCATACAATCGTAACAATCTTCTTGATACAATTCATGTCGCGAACAATGATCAATATCATCATGATAGCCTGGAAGATCTTTGATTCGATTAAATTTTTCATTAGCCGCTGTAATTTTTCGTTTAAAAGTATCCAAAACCGTTTCTAAATGTTTTATTCTTGCTGTTAGTAATAAATTTATTGTTTTTGTTGTCAATTCATTTAATCGTTGATCACTTGGATTTGTTAACATGTTTAAATTTAAATTGTGTTTTAAATGATCGGCACAACGTCGAATAACATCTTCAAAATTATATTTTTGTGCTAATAACAAACTATCAATTGTACCACGTTGCTGCATTAAATACGATTGACAACGTTTCGTTAATTCAATCATTTGATATTCCTGTAATAAAAAGCAAAAAGACAAAAGTTTTATATCAGGAAAATTGCAGAATAAAAGTTTAAAATTACATCGGCTAATTCAAGTAAACGTTGACAATTTGTTGCAACAATTGCTTTATTTGGTGGATAAATGACAGATAATAATTCCTTTATATCTTCGCATGATTTTCCAGGTAAACTAATTTCTTGAGAGTCTCGTTCACGAAAATTTGATTTAAACATTGTATCAAATACTGGACTCCATATAGCTAATATTGTACGATTGCAATAAAGTCTTTTATCTTCAATGTTCAAAATAACATCGTATAAGGGCGTTGGTTTAGTAAAATCAAATATCTCCATCTAAAACTGAAAAAACATAAAATTAATTTTCGCGACGAGAAGGAAACATTTCTTCACGAAATGAAATATTTCTGAGCTCTGAGTGATTGAACGTCGTCGAGAACATGTTACTCATGTTACTGTCACAATACAGAAGGCTTTCTTCACCAAAAATACGTTGAATTCGCTTAAAACTGATCGTTCTTCTGCAATTGTTTTAAAACACTAGCACGTTCTCGACGACGATCAATCACCCAGAGCTCATGAATGGTCACATTTCGTGAAGAAATATTTGCTCTTTCAGAATCTCATCGTGAGAAAACTTTATAGCTCATGTTTCAGTTTTTATTATTTGAAAACTAACCTTTTTCAAGCTAAATGGCTTGAAATTTAAAATCTTATTTAAATATTCTCATCGAAAGCTTTTTTAAACTTTTTTGACGAAAAATGCTTCGCGTTAATAATTAATCCAAAATTTCAGAAAGCCTGCTCTATACTAATAAAGTGTTAGCATTTTTTTCTACAAAAGTGAACTATCTCGAACTCTCTGACACCTAATCTGAGTAAGAATTTTAGAAAACCTTAAATGCAAATTCTGCCCCTAGTTGTGGCGACATCTCGGTAACTACATAAGTGAAACCAAAAAATTAATTTTATTATGATACTTTGATATGGTCGTCATTCAGCGAAAGTTCCGTTGAGATCGGACGTATAGTTACCGAAATACATTTCTAACATGGGGATTCTTAATTAATTTAAAATCTGAAGAGTAATACTGTTGTTCTTCGCGATTGCCATGTTTGCTTTCACAGAAAAATCTATAATATTCATGTGGATGTAGGACACTTTTCGGCCGAGTTCTTGATAAGGTACGAATATCACGATGGGAGGAATACTTTCTCCTGAGGGCTGTATCACAAAAAAACTTAAGTCTGACTTAAGTCTAGACTTTGACTTAAGTTTTGTCGTGATACGATCCCCTGTTTTTGAGTATCTACTATTTTGCGAAAAATTTACTCCCATTTTACAAAAATAGTTAGTAAAAAAACGTCACCAGGTTTCAGAATGTTTTGCAAATCGAGACTTTTAAAACATTTTACTTTTCCTCCGGTTTCGCAATGTCTCTGAGATTAGGCAAGTACCAATGGAGTTATGATTTAATATTATTTCTGAATAGCATTCCACCTATATCATTAGTCACTATAAAAATTTTGCTTAGTTTTTTCATTTTTCCATATACGTTTATTTCTTAAGTTGTACCATGAACTTGAGAGCCTTTTATGTGATCTATTATACCACAGACATGATGTATAATTCCTCCAAAATTTGTGAGTAGTGAAAAATTTCATTTAAGTAAAATATTTTACTTAAATGAGTTTCTCAAAAACACTTAAGTATAATTTCCTGTTTACTTAAGTAAAATTATTCACTTAAGTAAAACTTAAGTTTTTTCGAGAAACATGCCGCACTTAAGTTGTTTTGAGAAACAGGCCTCAGAGGCTCACGCATCAAATGAATCAAGAGATTGAGGAGGAGCGCAACTTTTTCTAGTATCCCGTTTATAATCGATACATCATGTTTTACTCGGACTTTTCGGCGAGAACATTATGTATCCAAGGTAGCACACAGCAATTTCTATAATCTGCCTTTACTCTGAGCTATCTTTAATTTTTTTTTGTCGTTTGATCTCAAAACAAAAATGAGTTTAAGGTTGGCGTATTTTTGCTCGCCTGTGAGTTTTACCGTTAAAGTATTGTTTGTCGTATGTGAAGAAAACATTCAAGGTTGGACTTTCAGAATGTATACCCGTGAATAATATCGCTAGGATCAGTTCGTTGCTACAACCAATCTAGCATTCTGTAAATGAGGCAGAATGGCATGCACCCCAATCCTCTGTGGATCAATCAGAACTGAACTGATCGTCGCTGCATCCAGAAAGTCACCAACGTCAGAGCAAGCTTACAGTAAGGGTTTGTTGATAAGACAGAGCAGGATTTCAGTCTTAACCTGTGTGGTTTTATGAAGTCGAGATCAGTTAAAAAGTTAAGCGTAAAACTCTTAACTCAATTCATGTGGACCGGTCGACAACGTTCCTTGTCAATACAACAATCTCATTGGTTCAAAAATAACATTAACCTTACTCATCGTCCTCTACAATAATTTCATTAGTCCCAAGTCGACTGAAACTTACAACTTATAATGTACTTATAGCTGTACATTATAATGTACACGTTTCGAATATCAGTAAAGCGTTTTGAAGGCGTAGATTGTGTGTCAGTCGACTTAGGGTACCGTATGACATCATATATAGTTACATAACCGACCATCTTCATATATAGTTACATAACCGACCATCTACTTCAATCTTTTGAAATGCTTGTCAAAAATATGTCAGGTTATCAAGTTTAGTATGTTAAATAAAGATAAAATGTAAGAGTTTGTAAGATGTTGTTAATAGTTCATTTTAATCTTTACATTTGAAGGACTCTTAAAGAGAGAAAGAAACGGCTTTCCAAGTTTCAGTAGTAGATTTGCTTTATTGTCAATATACCGGATACTTTCGATTTTGTACAGAGTTTCAACAGTTCAAAGGTCTTGGAGGCCTTTCATGGCACAAGGATCAAATAGTACGGCAATGACACATTCGCATATGCAAAGCTTCATCTTTAATTAGATTAAAGCCATTTGTTTTGAATCCTAGTACAAAGCCTTTGTACTCGATTTATTCGGAATAAATCTTTATCCGTTGCAAAACCTAAATCGAAAAAACAACGAAAATTTGTTTTCAACACTTATGTTTTTTCTTTGATTAAATTATTTAATAACTCTTTATAAGCTTTTGTTTCACCGCTAATACTGTGCGTACGTGTAACATAATTCAATGCTGTTACAATCAAATTTTCTCGTATTCTATCGTTTTCGAGTAACAGAATTTGATCAACAGCTTCTTGCTCAGTTTCATATATTAAACCATTTTTTCCATGTTTTATAACACTACAATTGCCCGTATTTCGTCTTACAATCACCGGCACATTTAAGCGCATACATTCTAACATTGCTAAACACATCCCTTCATTTACTGACGTATTGATGAATGCCCAACATTTTGTTCTCATTAATATTTGAACAGATATTTGTGATAGACCGCTCAAATACGTGATTCTCGTCGATTGTTTTTCAATCTCATTTTCAAATTCATTTTCTAACACCGAATCTGTTTTGTAGCCAACGATTAATAAATGAAATTTGTTGTCCGATAACATAGAAAACAAGCGAAGTGCAAATAATGGATCTTTAACTTTTCGAATTTCACCACACCATAAAATAAACTTTTTATTACCACTGTCTTCCAGTACTCCTTCGAATGGTGAAATATAACTGTAATCATTTAATATTTCAACCGCTTGTGGTATAACAGTTACTTTACATTTTAAATTATTTTTCCACTTTGACTCGATAATATTTTTCCACTCATTATTAAAACACACAAGTTTATTTGCTTTTTGAACAATATTATCAATAATTTCTTGCCATTTTTCTTCGGGTGAATGTAAATCAGTACCGCCAAATATAATGATTAAAGGTGGTAATATTAATGAAGCATTGTCATATAATTTTGTCAATAAATGTCCAGCACGATAGGCATGTAATGCGATGATAGCCGAATATTTAGAAATTAATTGGCAAAATGACTCACATTCGTTATTTGGCATATTGGCGTCGATACAATCGATATCAAAATATGCTCGAAGATTATGTGATAAACGATTCGCTGTCGCGGTATTACCACTACCTTTTCTTAACGATGAAATTAATAAAATTTTATTCTTCGGTTTAACAATATGGGATGACAGAAAATGTTTTTGTACAAAATCAAATATTTTCAGTGACATTTCAACAATACAAACCCACCACTATATTTCGATTTTATATTGACATAACAATAACATTATAGATGACAGATAAAGACAAATCACAATCAAAATTAAATAAAGTAAAATAAACAAGCGCTCAGTTCGCCATTCTTCAGACTTCTTTAAATGTTTTCTTACTAAGAAAACCACTCATTTCTATAGTAACAAATGTAGACTAAAGCGCTGTGGAAATTTTTGCCTTTTCAATGATTTTGGCCACAACCTACATATGTGAGGATACTGTGAGTTTCAGATGCACAAAATAATTGTTCGAAGTGACGTTATCGTGTAGAATGATACAAGAACAAAAACAATGTTAAAAATGATCGGTGATCCAAGTCCACTTTCACGCTGAACTCGTGGAGTGAACCCACGGTAATCGCTATGGTTTCGCGCCTGTAGCTTCGCAATCGTTATGGACTCGTGCTGTCACACCGCGATCATGCTAGAATCTTATTTTGTCAAAAAATATTAGTCATAACTCACAGGGAGAATTTGTTCCACGAGGAGCCGTTAGAACTCCTGAAGTGAGTCGCTGTCGATGATTCTGATGCGACAAAACTCTTGCTGTCGCTTCGCGAAACGTGAGATAAACTGTGGTCGTGACGTGAGTCACAGTCCAGAACTCACTCAACATTTTGCAGTTGAGCTTATACAAAAGAACGAAAGAAACATTAGAATTTTACTTAATGTTTTGTTCTAAAGTTTAATTTTCGCGTCAAGAGCCATGTTACCGATTGAAGGAACTCGATTTTCTCAAAAGTTATCAGATCAGGGATTTCTGAAAATAAAAAAAATATCTTTGTCGACTCCCGCCGTGACTATCGTCAGTTGTTCCGCGAAATTGTTCTGCCCTGGAATCACTATAAGAATAGCGATTGTGCCAGAATAATGGCGTGATGCTAGGAGTTCGCCTAGTATTAGACAGAATCGCGCCACGATGCCAGGAGTTCCGACAAGACTCGTCACGATATCGCGTCTTATTTCGTGGCTCTTATCGCGATCTCGGCGCGCCTTATAGTGTGAGTCTCACCATGAGTTTAGCGTGAAATTTGACATGTCGATACTTTAGAACTTGATCGATCAAATGATCAAAATTTGTAGTCCTTTGAAAACCAATCATTATTATGTTAAACGACAAATAAAATACCTAAACTTTCATCTATTCTACGAGAATCAGCTAGCTATACACATGTACAAAACAAATATAATTTCGAAAAATAAATAATAAACACTATATACAAGAGAGCATAATGCTTTTCTTATCTTTCACGATGTTTCAAATGATTGTGCATTGTTAACAAATACGTAAATACACATTTCTTATCTGGTTCATTTCCCATTTTTAACATGTCTTCCGTTTCAAGTAATGGATGAATTTGAGCTTGTTCTCTATCAAACAGATAATAAATGTAAAGAAAAAAGTTGATAAAGCTATTATCTAACAACTTACTCAGCAATGCGAAATGCCAGATCAAAATTTATTTTACGTTCATCTCGTCTCAATGTTTGATAATCAAACGACTCGGGATAATAATGATGAATAATAGCACAAAATGCTAGACCATCAGCAAAACTGGACGTAAAGTTAGTAATTTTAACATTCTAAATAAAAATTAGAACAAGTGGAAAACCTTTCATGAACTATGTGTAAACAGTATAGTAGACATGTTATAAGTATAATATTTCTAATGAAAAAGGTATAACTAAAAGAAGTGCTCTCTAAACGTCACAAAATTGAAAATAACGGATATTACCATGGAATTGATTTAAAACGCGCTCGTTCACCGTTAAACTGGATCAAAAGTTAAT